TGTGTGTGTGTGTGTGTGTGTGTGTGTGTGTGTGTGTGTGTGTGTGTGTGTGTGTGTGTGTGTGTGTGTAGGGTGTATTCAAATGCAGATGTTTAAAAGCAGGTTTGCCTAGCAGAATACTTCTATGAGTGCCCAAGAATGCTTTCTTGTTTCAGGGAGGAGCAGGGGGTGGGGAACAAGACCCAGTTGGCAGAAAGAATAGTTGGCAAAGGGTAAAAAATCAGTGACTAAGTTGAGGATAGAACCCAGGTATCTAGCTCATTCAAAATCAGCACCCTCCAAGACTTTCCCTCAAATACTGTTTGAGAAGATAAGCCCACAGTCAGAAGCGTCCTCAGAAGAGGAGAAGGCAGGGGGTTATAGGCGCCTGTAGAGCAGGGGGAGGTTGGCGGGGGGGGTCAGTGGGGAGGATCAGTGATCTGTAGCTTGTAGTTTTCTCAGGCCTGTGTGTACACTGGTGTCATGACATCCATCATTGGGGATTCCAGCTGAGGATCCAAACTAAGGACTGGGAATAAGTAAAAGTGTTGATAATAAGTAACATTCATTGAAATGCATACATATGGCCCAGCACTATGCTAAATGCTTTACATTGCCTCATTTTAGGGTGGGTTCTAATTATTTCCCTGTCTTACAGATGAGGAAACTGAGGCACATAAACTTGTCTCACATCAACACCATTAGTAAGTGGAAGAGCCAGACTTCAGACCCTGATTGTCCAACTGTTACACTTGGCTCAGCTTCTGTAGTTTTCCCTGAATCTCACAGGACCCAATTAAGCTGCACTTGTGGAAGAGAGTGCCATTTGCCTGGGTGGTTGCCTCCGCATGGGAGCACAGAACGAAACTGCCTTGGATTCCCTCCTTTGAAGAAATACTACATGCTGCTTGCTGGTTACAGCACAACAGGAGACTTTCTGTAGAAACTATTCATTTGTTTAATTTCCATTTCATTGGGTACCTCTTGTACTACAGGGTCAGTACTTGATGCCTAGAGAGATATGAAAGTGACTAAAACACAACCCTGCCTTCCAGGCTCTTATGGTCTAGTCGGGAAGATAGGCGTATATAACCAGATCATTAAAACCCAAAATGTAATAGAGGTATGGGAAGTAAGTGCTGAAATTTTTAATAGTTAACATCTGTATCGATGCTTTACTGTTTATAAGATGTTGTCACTTGATTTTTGCCACATTCCCATAAAGGAGTTAGGTAAGAGGTTATTGTCTTCCCTACGTTGTAGATGAAGAAATATACTGAGGAGGCTGTACCCCAGGCAAGGTCCTAGTTCATGATGGTGTGGAGACCTTACCCAGCTTGTTTGACCCCAGATCCCATGTTCTTTTTTCATCACACCATGCTGCCTTCCCATCTAAGGATCTCCCGGCACTTGGTATGAATGCTACCAAAATGAATTGGAGCAGACGGCTGAGAACCATATCAGTGTCATCCTTCCTAACCTGTCAGAGCCTCCCTGACTCAGAAAAGCCTTAACAATAACTTGAGGAAAACACACAGACTATGGAAGTCACCTTCATCCAAAAGGGGCACTTCCATATCTTCTTTTTGTGCCTCTCAGATTTTTTCAAATCGAAATTAAAATATTCAGGATTCGAAGATTAAGCCAGGAGTCTGTGAGTTGAGAAAGAACAGTTGGAAATGATTTACTCCAGGGCTTCTCAGCAGTGACATTTGTGCTGGATAATTCTTTGTTGTGGAGACTGTCCTGTGCATTGTGGGATGTTTAGCAACATCCCTGGCCTCCACCCAGTGATGCCATTAGCATTCTCCCCCCTAGTTGTGATAATCAAAAATGCCTCCAGATGCTGCCAGATGTCCTGGTGGGCAAAAATCGTCACTGGTTTGACAACCACTGATTTAGACCAAAGAACAGTTCAGTGGGCTATAGCTTAGGCTGTTCCTGTTTGCCTTCCTGCAGCCTTTCTCACTGGTGGAGGGCGTGTGTTCAAGGGGTTGAGGTGGGAGAAGGATGACTAGGACAAAGCTATGAATTTGCCTCTTTAGAGATAAGGATTCTTAACCTGGGAAGATGGGCATTCAGGGATCCGTGACCTGACATTGTAGGCAAAACTTTGCATTTGTGCCTGTGAATGTTTTCCTGAGGAGAAGATTCATACACCCAGTGCGCTGGTGTGTGGTTCAGGAGATCTTGTGGAATGGGAGTAGGTGGACACCAGCTCCCCCAGTATGCACAGAGGCACCTCGCTTTTCTCTCCCAAGGTTGGGCAGGATTCTAATATGAAAACGCAGGAAAGGTAAGCACTGATAGCAGGGGAAGATTCCTCATACTCCTTTCCTTAAAAGAGCACAAAATTGTAAATTAAAAACCAATAAGCAACCTGGATTCTAGGCCCATGTTTGCCAGGGACCAGTAGTCTGACTTCAGGCAAGTCCCCACAGTCCTCTAGTGGTAAGATTCTAAATTCCAGGATCCATGTTGGTTTGCATTAATTTGTGTCTCTGTCTTCTTATGGTCCCTTTGCTCTTTTCTAAAATTCCACATGTGATACTGTGGTGTTTAACAGCTAACTCTCCGTCAGGAAATCTAGATTTATAGTGTTTACCATTTTCAGTGATGTAAATACTCCCACCATGGTTGATTTTAAGCTATCAAAGTGAAGTCAGTGACGGCCGATTTGGGAAGAGATATGTATAATTGGCTCACCATGGCAGCCTGCTCCAGCACCCCACTGGATGCTGAGTTCTTTCTCATGTGATCCTCTGTCTTCTCTGTTAACACTTACCTACAAAGCTGGGATGCAGTTTCTACTAGATTTCTGCTATTGCTTATTCTTTGGTTGAATCAGCCTGGCACGATCTCTTCCTCAGCAGAAGCTTTATTTTTCTATTGCCATCACTAAGTTATGAGTATAATTAAAGATTCAAACTTTGTTGTTGATTAATCCAGTCACTAGATAGCCCTCATGGTTTTCAGAGCTGGTTGTGATAGTTCCATAGACGAGAGTGGACATGTCACGGGAATGGCCACACCACAGGGTATCCTCACCAAATGAGCCCACTGCTCTGCTCAACCACAGTGCTCATTCTAGCCTGTGAGCCTTGGTTATGCTGTCCCCTGAGCCTCGTGTGCCCCTCTTCTGTCCTTATTCCACCTACCACACAAGGCCCTGTTCATGTCCTTGCCATCAGCAAATCCACTGAAGTCCAACTGCCAGAGGATGAGAATAAAAACACCTAATTTTCAAAGGACATCTGTGTGCCTTGTCAAACTCCCACGTCACTGAGTCTCTGCCACTATTTTAGCACTTAATCAGGGATTGCTGAATATTGTGATTTTAATATTTGCACTCATGGATTTAAGACCTAGAGAGCAGGAGCTACATCTTAAACTCCTCTCTTTCCTCCAGGTAACCTACTACGGTAGTAATCGTTTGCTGGATTGATGCCTTTCCCTACCTGCACACTCAGCAGTCTCCCCCAACTCTTAAGTTTGCATGGTGCACAAACCTACACCATTTCACTGTACATTTATTTCAACCATGTCATCTTTTGTCAGTTGTTCCATGTAATAATAATGCTAACATTAACATGCCAGGCACCGTTCTCTCCTAGAATCCTCACAACAGCTCTGTAGTTATACGTGCTGTTGTCGTCCTTACTTCACTCACAAATAAATACACTCAGGCATAGAGAAGTGAACATACACAGAATCATATAGCTGATAAGTGACAGAGCTGGGATTTGAACCCAGGTTGTTCATACTCTTGAACTGTGCTATACTGCCTCTTCAGACGCAGTGGGCTTGTCTCCCCAAACAAATACGCTCTTTGGGAGCAAGTGGCATATCTCACGCTTCTTCACGTCCTCAAGCACCTAGCTTAAGGTCAGGCTAGTATTTGGTGAATGGAATGAATGGGCAACCTATGTGTTCGATGACTAGCCATTGACTCAGTTTTTTAAAAAACACGTTTTAACCATCTCTACCCTGAATCATGTTTTTTCTTTAGTGCATTTATTCCAGCTAGACATCTCTGTGAAACAGGGACGGAATAAAGTCCGAGAAATGTTTATGAAGAATGCCCACGTCATAGACCCCAGGGTGGTTGATCTTCTGGTCATTAAGGTAACTAACTCTCCCTGACTGATTTTAAAGAGCAGCGAACTTGTCCAGAGCTTCTCAGTCTTCTCAGATGAACATTTTATCTCCAAGTTGAAAAGCAACTACTAGGTCAGCAACTGTTACATAGTGTTTCAAAGGAATAGTTCAACTTGGAGGTTCTTACCTGGTTCAATAGATTATAAGATTATTTAAGGGAAAATCCACTGGGGCTTTTACATTTTAAAACTAAAAACAGAGGAAAGTTTGAACTCCTCTTGAACCTCATCCCTGGAAGTTACTGCTTCACCTGGTTGCCAGTTTTGAGCCGGAAGAGCAGGCCATGGAGTCAGATCCTGGGCCTGATTCTGTCTCTCTGGTCCATCTCATTGGCATCAGTGGCACCTTCAGCATATGGGCCAGTAAATAACACGGAAAGAATGTTAAGCAGGCATGTAAATTAAGCCAGTCAGGGGGCAGAGGCCTGGTGACCTAAAGTCTCCTCTTGGAACCAGTCAGCCAGAGAGTTAAGGAGTATTTGAGAGGTCTCGGAACTACTTAGTCCAACCACCTCATTTTCCAGAGGCAGAAAGTATGGTCTAGACACAGTATGTTACTTGCCCAAGGTCACTCAGCAAGTCAGTGCCAGAGCAGAGAATCGAGTCCTGGCCTTCAGTGTTGTATTCCTTCCACTCAACCACTCTGACTGAAGACCTCTTCCCTCACTTGTGCAGGGAAAGATGGAACTGGAAGAAACAATTAAAGTGTGGAAGCAGCGGACACACATTATGCGGTTTTTCCATGAAACAGAAGCACCAAGGCCGAAGGACTTCCTGTCCAAGTTCTATGTTGGGCACGACCCGTGAAATCACTCAATGGAAAAGTGCATGTTGGTATTTAAATATTTTAGAGTACAAATAAACTCAATATCTGATGGTCATTTCATGATAGAACTCCATTGGTGAACCAATGAGCAGCTCTTGTCCTGCAGTCTCACTTTTTGTCTGAACAAGTTGAACACCACCTGTTCTTTCCCGTCTCCTGAAGTGTGGTGTTTCCAGTAAATCAGATTCTCTTTTCTCAGAGCCTTGCATGTTGGTAAACAGGAATGGTGAGGCCATCTGCTCAGAAACTGCCGTTCTGGGTATGACGCTGGATGGCTTTGTCAACTTAGCTGTGTTTCTACAGCCCCCAGGATTGGATATTTTGGTGTAATGGCACAGATTATCCAAAATCAGCCAGCTCTTGCTACTGGAGGAGGATCCGAGCAGTACGAAGAGGCCCAGAAGTAGACCTGACAAGCTGGGCTGTTTTTCCCTGGGTTCTGAAGAAAATGGCTGCTCAGAGGCCTAACCCCCTGTCTGCAACAAGCACTGGTCCTAAAGATGAAATTAACTTCCTTGTCAATCAGGCATCCTGCTAGGGACACAGCTGTTCAGTGCACGCACAGAAGTATTCCCTTGGCAAATGGAGTGTGGCTCTAGCGATGAGAATAAATCTTGACCCAGGTTAAAGACCTGATCTGTTTGCTTTGGATGGTAGTCTTCTCTGTTCCTTCCTTGGACAGTCTAAATGCTGGAGAAAGGGGTTCAGTATCTATAGGTACAGTCACCCTGATGATTCCCAAATTTTTCAGCGCCAACAACCCCTTTATTATTATTTTTGTTGTTTTTAACATCTTTATTGGAGTATAATTGCTTTACAATGGTGTGTGAGTTTCTGCTGTATAACAAAGTGAATCAGCTATACATATACATATATCCCCATATCTCCTCCCTCTTGCGTTTTCCTCCCACCCTCCCTATCCCACCCCTCTAGGTGGTCACAAAGCACCGACCTGATCTCCCTGTGCTATGCGGCCGCTTCCCACTGGCTATTTTGCGTTTGGTAGTGTATGTCCATGCCACTCTCTCACTTTGTCCCAGCTTACCCTTCCCCCTCCCCGTACCCTCAAGTCTGTTCTCTAGTAGGTCTGTGTCTTTATTCCCGTCTTGCCCCTAGGTTCTTCCTGACCTTTTTTTTTTAAGAGTCCATGTATATGTGTTAGCATACGGTATTTGGTTTTCTCTTGCCCTTTATTATTTTTTCATCTAAGGAATCCAAGTTTTGAAAGAATTCTAAAAAGTGGTATTTCTCAAGGAGTTTTAAACAATCAAAGCTTCTCCTGATTGATTGCGTGGGATAACTAGCCAGTGTTACTCAGCACAAAAGCTGAGCCTTTAGCTAGCCTATGCAGCCATTGGGCTTTTGTAAATAACGAAGATGATTGGTCCCAGGTCCCCATGATTACCTTGTGGATCCATAGGGGCCTGGAGGCCCTGGGTTGTAAATCAAAGACCTATTTGTTCAGCTGATAGAGATAGGACAGCAGGGTGAAGAAACTGCAACTAGAGCCTACTTGTATTACGAAACTTCAGCCATCACTCGGTCATACAGAGCTGATGTTTATTATGTTTATTCACAATTTGATTATGCTCAGTGGACAGCACATCTCCAGGAACCTCCCGGAGCCTGGGGATCTGAGCTATGGTCACAGACCATGCAGGAGGCTTCACTGGGGTTGGGAGGCTGAGGGCTTTCCCTGGGCCCATCTGCTGATAGGGAAGGAGGAGAGGCTGCGAGCATCACCATTTCTTAAGTTAGGGCTTTCTCCTTCTACACTTCTCCACGGCCTGCAAGAAAGGAAAGCAGCAGTCAGTTGGGTGACAGAGCCGTCCTCTTACCATATACTGCAAGAATTCCATACAGTGGTTCTACCAAACATGGCAGGAGACAGGCAGTTTTGAGTACATTCAATTATTCATTCATATACATACTGAACATTCACCAGAGACCGGGCACTGGGGCCCTAAAGGTATAAAAAGACATGTTCCAGGGCTTTCCTGGTGGCGCAGTGGTTGAGGGTCCGCCTGCCGACGCAGGGGACACGGGTTCGTGTCCCGGTTCGGGAAGATCCCACATGCCGTGGAGCCGGTAGGCCCGTGAGCCATGGCCGCTGGGCCTGCGCGTCCGGAGCCTGTGCTCCGCAACAGGAGAGGCCACAACAGTGAGAGGCCCGCGTACCACACACAAAAAAAGAAGACATGTTCCCTGCAGCAAGAATATGGTCAAGTAGAGTTCGGGGTGTATCTTAAGCATATAATACTGACTGTCACAAGAGGCACTGTTCAGTTAGGGGACGGAGCAGTCCCTTTCAAATGGAGGAAAGACTTCATCAAAGATAATGAAGAACTGGTGGAAATGAGAGCAGTGGGAAATAATCTTTCAATTGGGAGGAATAATGGGCCACTGGGAGTGGGTAAGAGAGTGAGTAACTCAAGAGATAGTGAATATTGGGGATAGATATGTGGTTGGGAATATGGAAGATAAGGCTGGAAGAACAGGTGTGACCAGATCATCGCAAGCCTTAAATGCCAGACTAAAGAGTCAGGAGGGTCCTTGTTTATAACGGTAATGCAGCCAGTCAGCACATATTAGGGCACAGGAAGTCAGCACAAGAAAGCTGGATGGAACTGGCACAGGGGAAGGGTTTGTGAGCAGTGTATGAACCAGGCGGCAGTGCCCGTATACAGGCTGTGCTGGTTCAGAGCTTGGTAACCAGAGCTCACTGATGAGGGCCTGCAGTCTCTAAATTTCAATGTGGAGCTGGTGAAATGAAGTTGTTTGTGGTGGGTGTGTAAGGCATATTAAATTGTCAAGAAAATTTGTGGGTTGAGAAAATTGAGTGTGCAGAAAAGGGCAAATAGAAAAGGCTGGCTGGGATCCAACCTGGTTGGAAGAGACGCCAGTGAATTTGTAAGTCAATAGGATAGTTTCCTTCATCCAGCATAGGGAAAAGGTGACATAAAAACATTAGTCACCAAGAGAGTCAATGCAGTAAAAGTCTGTGCTTCTGCTTCAAATGTTCAGATTCTGCTACCAGGCCAAACTGCATCACAGTTGCATCAAAAGCAAGTCTTACCTATTAGTCGTCATCATCATCATCCTCTGGAACAAAAATATCATGCTCCTCAAGTAAAGCGGCAAAGTTCTTGCTAATTAGCGTCCCGACATAGAGAAAGGGGATCACAATGGAGAACACACGGAGAAGGCCGAAGGACATCTGCAGAGGGTCAAAGTGGTAGCTGTGAGCGCCAGAGCCCACTCCAGTAGGACCACAGAAGGCCTGGCCCTCTCAGGAGCATTCCCTCCTGTGGACCTGAGATCCATGATAAGCAACTTGATTTTAAAGTCCTTGGAAAAGTTCAGAGCAAGAAAAAAAATTACAAGAAGAGATAAAGTGATTTTATGGCCATCAAACTGTGCACTTGTAAGAAAAGTACAAGGCACTAATGGACATCTAAAAGGGCACAACCTGTTAATTACTTGCAGATACTCATAAACAGGTGAGAAAGTACTATGAGCTGGACTAGGGAATAGAGTTCAGGTCTCCTTGAATAAACTACTAAATACATGAAAATAGATTACAAAAAAATGAACATGTACAGTGAAGGGATATTCTATACAGTTCTTTAACTGGTTCCCTGATGCCTGAGAAATTTGATTTCACTACATTAAATTTTAGAAATATGTTTTGAAAACTGAGCATGTCTTTATATTAAAAGACTAGCTATTTAAATGGACTGGCAGAGTTTCAGTAAAATTTCAACATTTCCTCTCATATCTTCCTACGGAGTTTCAAAAAAAAAGTTGTTTTTTCTCTTCAGTTGTGCCTCTTTAAAGGCAGCTCCTCCCCAACATGACGGTGCTTCCTGCTGTGAAACAACCCTGAACTCACCTTGTGTGAGCTTGCGTCGGCCAGACTAGCTTTAAAAGAATGTTTTGTAAGTCTCACACAGCGCTGGAGTCAAAAAGCAAACTTACTTGGTATAAGGGGCTGTTCCTATTTTACTGAGAAAACTCCAAGGGTACTGAGGGCATATGATAACACTCAGTGGTGGGAAAAAATAGGATCTGGTGGGAGTTGTACCAGCAGGAAATCTGAATTCCGGAACCTAAGTCAGCTGCTAGCTTTGGACACTGGCTTCACTAGTCTGGCCCCTGATTCTTCATTTGTAAAAACACTGATGGTAATAATTCTCTGCACACCCAATCACATGAAATTAAATACTAGGTCAAAACTTGCAAAAAGATAAGGTCTGTCCCACTTACCCTTTATTTACAAAGTCATTCCACAATTCGTTTTTCATCCCATCAACTCTATGGTAGAGAGGTTACATGACTTGTCTATACTGGATGCATAAAGCGGAGTCTTGTGGCTCCGGAGAGCCAGGGCACCGCACTCCTCACGATGAGCTAGTAGTGCTAAGTGCCGTCTTCCTCCGCTCTTGCCCCCCATCTCCTGTCTCCACGTACCCTGCTCAACTCCCGGATCTAACCCGACCACTTCCTCCCATTCGTCAAAATTAGCAGCGCATCAGCGCAAAACTTTGTCCTTGATCCGTCTTCCGGTCTAAGGCGGTCGTTCGACTGGCCTTTGCTCCTATCAATCAGCGTGAGCCCGCATACACTCCCCACAATGACAGTCCTCGGCCCCTTCGCCCCGCCTCCAGGCAGACACTCACTTTCACCGGTTTGGGCAAAATGGCGCCGCTGCGAGTAACGATGACTGACCTCGATGGTACCAAACTCCGAACTAAGCCGCCCCGTCCGGCGGAGACATCGCCACCTTTCCCCAGGCTCAGCCCGCTCTGGAAAGCCCCAGATCCGACGGGTGCCAACGCCAGCCAGCGACCCGCTCCGGACGCCATCTCCCAGATCCCCCGCCTAGTCCGGGGACCTGCACCCCACCACCGGGCCCCCGTGCCGCCCTCAGGAAGAACGCCGCCCGAAGCCTCGCGAGGCTTTAGGGATCAGACGAGAGGTCCAGCTCACAGACTTGCGCAATGCGCCTAGTTCCTGTTGCGGCCCGACATGGTGACGTCAGGAGGATGACGCCAAGGGCCCGGTACAGCCCTCATTCCGGGCCTGGTGGGCGGGGCCACCTGACTGGAGTTGTCCTTGTGAAGCCTTCAGATTTCTGTCATTGTTGCCGCACTCAGGACTGCCAGGGCGTGGTAGAGCAGGGGGTTGTTGAAATGAGAAACTACTTTAATTGAACTTCAAACTATTGTATTTTTTTAAACAATTTAAAAATACAAATTTGTTACTCGTGCTACTTGAATGATTTTGGAATTTTATTTCATGCCAAGGTATATGTTATGTGTAGCTAAATTGAAAATATATCTGAAAAGGGGAAAAATGGGGGCTTTCACACAAACTGTCCAGGTGATTGCTAAAGTAAACTTGAACCAAAATAAGTAATAAAAAAAACAATGTTTTAATCGTATAAAAAGCACTGTAACAATAAGCAAGATAACAAAAAGCCCGTAGTGTCTGTGTATAAAACAAGACGCATCGGGGCTGTGGGGCTCCCATACAGGGCTGGGGAGGTGGCCCCTCTTCTTGGGAAACAGGCCTGGCTTCCTAGGAACTGGTCCAGGACCCTGGACGGCATGTCAGCCTCCTGGACTTAAGAGGCTCTGAGCCGAAGCCTCTAGCTCAGGCTGTCCAAGGCCCCAATAAGGGAGAGAGGCTAAGAAGGGGGAGATTGTGTATATTGGAGGAGGGGGATGACTGGACCAGGCTCTGCATCTTCCATCCAGCCACTGCCACCACACCCCTAGGCTATCAGGCTGATCTGGCCTCTGGCTCTGTCCAACCAGCCACTTTTCCTCTCAGAACAATTGATAAAGCAAATGTTTGGCACCATGCTGATGAGAGTAGGAAAAAGAGGATCTTGGCAGGCACACACTGGGTGCCAAGCAAGACTGTGCACGAGTTCCTAGGGGGTTTCAGGATGAGGAGCATCTCTCTGGGGGTCTAGCCAAGAGAGAAGAGTTTATCACAGCGTGTCAGGAAGCCTGTGCCCAAGCTCCTAGAGGCCCAGGACTGAAAACCAAAGGAAGAAACTGGCTTTCCCAGGGAGCCTCACTGCCTCCCCACTTCAGCTTCCCACTTGGCAGCTGAGGACACAGTACAGGAAGGATTTCTGCTAACATATAAAAGCTACTGGCCCTCCTGGGGCAATGACCAAGCACCGTCTGGCTGTCTGTTGACAGGGCAGCCAGGGAAAGAAGATGGGGCCCTAACACTTTTGGAGCAGGATAAATCCCTCTTGACTGGCTAAGTGCCCTCTCCCTCCAAAGGGTCCTGTCCAAATTGCAGAGTGGGGGTCCCATGCCCAATCTTCTCATCACTCAGGATGAGCCAGGCCCCAGAAACCCCCATAACACGTTAAATCCACTTTTTCTGACAATATCAGTCCCTCAAGCCAACACTGCAGCCAACTTCTGGTATTTATACAAGATTCCCCATGTTGGAAATCGTGTCTGTAGAATCGCGTGTAGGTGAAAGGCAGAGCGGCCTGTGGTCATGTAATAATCTCCACTTCCTCCATTTCATTAATATCCCCTAAGAGAGGGGCAGTCAGGAGACCTAGGTCTGTGGCTGCTGAGCAAGCCACCTCTCCTCTCTGGCCCTCAGGAAATAAAGGGGTTGAAAGTTAATGATTCCTCAGTCCCCTCTAGGCGTGAGGGTGGATTTGGAAACTGGAGCAAGCCTAAAAAGCAGGAAGGGGAAAACTCACATCCAACAGCAACTTCAGAAACCAGTACACATTAAACTCTTGAAAAAGCACTGGCCCTGGTGTCCTGACCAGCAGGACAAGGGCTGAACCCGAAGGGCCCAGGCTCAGGGCCTATCCTGTTCCTCACATTCTGGCTGGCTCCCCTGGGCACTCTGCAGCCACAACCGCCTCAGCTCCATAATCTCCTGGCCATACCAGTCATGTAGAGTAGAGAAGCAGGAGGTCTCAGGGGACACGGGGCTCTGCCCCCTGCCTAGAAGGAGGCTGGCAGGGCCCTGCAACTCCCACTCGGCCAAGCCCCGCCCTGCTGGCCTGCTGCCCCCTTCTTCCACCAAGGCCATAGGGCTGCAATCTCTGGAGAGGGAGTGACCGTTCTCCAGGCCAGGAGACCAGTGGTCAGGAGCCTGGGGCTTACAGCGGCTAGGAATGGCCTTCCAAGATGAGTGGCGATGCAGGTCCAGGCTGTGGCGGGCATCACGCAACTGGCTCTCCAGCTCACGCACCACCAGGCGCATGTAGCCAAAGCTTGCCCTGGACAGTGCCTTCACCCAGGCCTCCTGGGCCGCTGGCCCATCTGCCGCGAGCAGGTGTGGGCGCACTCCAGGGGCGTCGAAGCGGATGGCAAAGGCAAACTCTTCAGGCATGGGAGCCTCGGCCAACTCCACTGTGCAGCCCTCCAGCACCACTAGGCTCAGTGGGGCCCGGCCCTCTCGACTCTCAAAGGAGAACAGCAGGTTGCCTTTAAGGACAAACCAGCACCTTCGGCCAGTGCCACTGGGGGTGGGTGGAGTCCCTGCACCCCCCCAAGTGCGCAGGAAGCCTGCGTGGTCTGCTGGGGAGTCGCTCAGGGCATAGTGGGCCACACTCCTCTCGTTCAGCTTCATGGCTCGCATAAGAACTGTGAGGTGAGAGAGGTAGACACAGATCAGAGGGAGGCAGCCCTTGTGCCCCTGTGGGAAAAAGAGCACTGGCTCTGGAAAGACCTGGGCCCCAGGCCTGTGGGCTCTTCTCACTTGCTGTGCCTGAGGCTCTCAGTGTCTTCATCTGTGAAATGGGCTAGTCTCTCCTGCCTTTTCTCTCAAAGGGCTATTGTGAGGATCATGCAAAAAACTGGACATCAGAGGACTCAGAGAAAAGGATAACGTGATTGTATCAGACCAGGAGGTATGGCAGAGCTTTGACACAGCTGTTTAAAACCCAAAGGAAAAGGCATCAGCTGAGCTGAAATGGACCCCAAACTCATAAAAACCATTGTGCTTAAACAATCCCCTAATCTGAGGGCCCCTTAGCTCCAACCCTGAAGCCAAACATCCAGGGTTTCTGAACCCTGTGGACCCCTGCTGGCCTCTCATTTGTTAATGGCACAGCTGTCCTTTAGTAGCCTTCAGGGCCAGATAGGGCTGGGGTGGGGCAGGCCTGCCTCATTCCTCCATCAGTGTGGGTTCAGACAGGGACCAGCTCGGTAAATAAGAGCGAAGTACAAACACAGGGCACGGCTGAGTAGGATCAACTCAACCACTGAACATTGGTGCCCCACAGGCCACAAGTGGCATCTCATCCAACTGTCCTCCTGACTCACAGAAAACTGAGGTCAGGACAGCGAAGGTGAACTGCCCACGGTCACATGGCCAGTGAGAAGCGGAGCTTGGTCTCCTGATTCCCTCCCACCCCTTGGGAGCAAGTCTTGGCAATGACCCACTTACCAGCAGAGCTCACTGGGCAAAGGCAGGGGCCTCTCTTGTCTGGCCACACGTCTCAGCCCTTTGACCACGTGGTTTCTGGGGCACCTGCAAAAGAATTCTCAAACCCAGTCAACCCATCCTAAAGGAGGAAAACTCCTACTCAGGCTTTGGGGCCAAATGAAACCACCACCTCCTCCAGGAAGCTTTCCCTGACCCCTGATAATCGCCCCCCCCCAACCACCACGGGACCACCCAGGCCCTGCACTTACGGGCAATTTAAGGATCTGAGTCCCATTGCCCTGACCATCACTGTTCAGACCTCACTGCTCTGTTCTCTAATGCTAGGTCAGAGTTAAATGCCCTCATGGCTTCTTGCTTTTCCCTTCTAGCACTTGTCACAGTTTATTTGTGGTCTTTAAGTAAGCTAATCTAAGAGGCCTGTCCTGATCACTATGTCTAAGGTGGTACTGATCACGAAGGTGCTCTGATCTAAGGTGACCCAACCAGCACCCCCCTCACTTCTGTTTTCATCCCGCAATGATCTCCTTTGTGTTTACACCGCTGTCCCCAGCCCCAGAATGTCTCCCAGTGTAACCCCCAATATCCAGCCCCTTGCAGGGGTTGGGAAGGCCCTCCGAAACTATTTGTTAAAATAACTGTGACTACAACAGTGGACAAAATCAAGTCCCTCCGTCCTGGAGCCTACATTTCAGCGGGGGAGACACGCTGTAAAAAAAAGACAAAAATAAATAATAATTAGTGAATTTTTAAATTAATTAAATAATAAATTACATAAGGACCGGTCTTGACAAGGGCTATGGAGAGAAGCAAGCAGGGTCCTGAGATGGGGAGGGGCCATTCTTCGATGGTGGTCGAGGAGAAGCGGGGGTGGGGTGGGGGGAGAACACAGATGTTTCCTCGAGGAGTGGCCTCAGCTCCGGGGCGCGGAGAGGGGATCCGGAGCCCACGGAACTGTCTCCGCACCCCCTCACGGGGACAGGCGTCTTCCACCCACCTCCGCGCTCCAGGGATGCGAGGCCCGGACTTCAACCCCGGCGGGAAGCCGGTGCACCGCGTTTTTCTGAATTCTTTTGTTAGAGGAGCGGCGGGCTGGGGCGTGGGACTCACTGGCCGGTGGCCACCGCCGGGAGCCCCTAACCCGCTGTCGCCCTGAAACAGGGTCGCCTCACCGGGAACTCCCCGGCGAGCGCCGCAGACTCCAGATGCGGCGGCCGCCTCGGTTTCCCCATCGCGCACGGAGCTGTCCCGCCACGTCCCCGCGGGCCACGCCCTCCCGGAGGCCGCCGCCTCCCGAGCCCGCCCGGCCTGCTCTCACCTCCGCGCCCCCGAAGCCCAGGAGGGCGACCCGCGGGGTGGGTTGCGGCCGCGGCCGGGGGCGATTCCGGCTCGGG